TGCTCCGTGCCTGCTCCGTTCCTGCTCCGTGCCTGCTCCGTTCCTGCTCCGTGCCTGCTCCGTTCCTGCTCCGTGCCTGCTCCGTGCCTGCTCCGTTCCTGCTCCGTGCCTGCTCCGTGCCTGCTCCGTGCCTGCTCCGTGCCTGCTCCGTGCCTGCTCCGTGCTGCACCGTGCTGAACCGTGCTGCACCGTGCTGCTCCGTGCTGCTCCGTGCCTGCTCCGTGCTGCTCCGTGCTGCACTGCCTCTCGACTCATCCCACCCAAGCATTCAGCCTTGGATCTCCTCTCTCTCCCGTCTCGGATCCCTTAACCCACTAGTTCCTCCCTCCGGATCTTGTAAGGGCTGTGCTCCCCCTTGGCTCCCTAAGGCATGTTCGGTAGCTGTTTGCTAAAGGCCTGACGAAGACCTGGCAGACTGGCCAAGCAGTCCGATCTGGGTGGGTTTGCCCCGAATCTGTGCCGCTGTTGACATCTCTGCGGTCCTGGTGATGCTTGAGCAGAGGATCACATCACTGGGACCGCGTTTTGGACTTGAAAACCCTTCAGGGTGAGAGGTTTATTCTGAGCATAGGCTGTGTGCACTTACACATCAGACCACTCTGGATTTGGGGCAGAAGTAGTTATTAAAACTGCTATTAGGGACTGGAGAGATGGCTCAGAGGTTAAGAGCACTGGCTGCTCTTCCTGAGGTCCTGAGTTCAATTCTCAGCAGCTACATGGTGGCTCACAACCATCTGTGATGAGATCCGTCGCCCTCTTCTGGTCTGCAGGTGCACATGCAGATGGGGCATTGGATATGCGCACGCGCCACAGATAAATCTTCTAACAAGAATGCAACACACATTGCATTATTAAGCAAATGTTCCACGGAATAAACCAATGTTCTACAACGAAAGTTCTTCCTTATCTGTGCTCCAGCTCTATCGCTTATCTCAGAGCCGATGGCACCTACAGCGTCAGCCTTGGTGCCTTCGGGAGGAGGTGGCTGTCTTGGTGGTTCAGTTTTGTTGTTTCACTCTGGTGTTATGGGGTATTCACCAGTGAAGCCAATGGAAACTCTTTATTAACCGGCTAGCGACCACACTAGGTGTCTGGGATCCCAGTGTAGCCCTGAGTCTTTCTCAGCGGGAGCTTTTAAGCACAAAACCATGTCCTGGGTTGGCATGCTGCAATTAACAAGAACAACAATGGCAACTCTGTAGCTTTGGAGTCTGTCCTGGAACTAGCTCTTGTAGACCGGGCTGGTCTCGAACTCACAGAGATCCACCTGCCTCTGCCTCCCAAGTGCTGGGATTAAAGGTGTGCACCACCACTACCCATTTTTTTTTTTGACAGCAACTGTTATAAAGGAAAACATTAAATTAGGGTGGCTTACATTTTCAGAGGTTTAGTCCATTGTTATCGGTGGAACCAGCCATGATAAGCTCAATATGAACAGATAGTCCAAAGAAAGTTCTTTACTTCCAACCGTTATCACCTGCCAGAGTAGAACTCAGCCATCGATAAATTTAAATGGGGGCCTGAGTCTCAGTAGTTTACCCTGAAGCAATACCTGGTCGCAGGAAGAACCACAAGCTGAGATTATGCGACCTCCACCCAAGAACAGACCATCCAAAGGAAATGCCTAATGTTTCAACCCTGGCATGAGTGCTGCAGAGGGCAGTGTCCTCTCCCGATGTCCTGCTCACAGTGCCAATACACTCTAGCCTGAGGGGGCGTGAGACTGCGGCGTGGGTCCTCACCCCGCCGCTGTAGAAAGGACACTGATGGGACAGTTGTGACACACTCCTTGTTCACTGTTTATCCGTGTTCTACCTTCATTCCGCACAAGAGAATGCTGCAGTGGGCCCTGTGGTCCTAAGGCCTTCTGACTGTTAGGTCTTGGGTGACATTCTGAGGAGTAATTAGTAACATATAAAATGGTTAAGAAACTCATTCTGCAGAGGCCAACTGGAAGCAGTTCTGTCCTAGGCTGCGCAGGGCCAGAGATTCCCTGGCCCCGCAGGCCTCTGCCCGTCATAGCTCCACCTTGACTCCTTTTATGAAAGGCAGACCCGTGGGCACCCGCTTTTTATACTCCAAGTATTCCTCCCCAAAGAAGTGAATCAGCAAGATCTCCTCCTCTTCCGTGCGATCACGAAAGAAGCGCCACACCGTCAGGGCGTAGACAACACCACAGATGGGGTTACACAGCATCACCTGGGTTCCGATACTCCAGTAAAACCACCCCACATAGGAGGGATGCCGGAACCAGAGTGTGGGTGTCTGACTTCTCACTCTGCACCACGTGGTTGAAATTGAAGCCAGCTTTCCGCAGGCATTCTCCAAACACCACCATCAGCAGCCCAGGCTGTAGATAGGACCACCTGCCAGCACACAGTCAACAGGACACCCTAGACAAATGTCAGCCAATCAGGGGTCCTGAACTTCAGAGACCCCTCACCCCCAACTATAAAAACCCAACTCTAACTGAGCTCAGGGCTCTCTATTCCAATACATTGGACATGTGGAGAGACAGAGTTTGTAACTTGCATAAAATAAAGGCTCTTTGCTTTTACATACAGGACTTGGTCTCCTAGTTGGCTTTTGGGGGACTTCACGGATTTGGGCATGACATCATCATGGTGCGGCATGGTGACATCATCAGAGTGCAGAAGGAGCAGCTGAGTCCCACACCTTGACTTGCAGGCAACAGGAAGTAGTCTGAGACAATGGGCGGTATCTTGAGTAGGGTGCACAGGCAACAGGAAGTGGTCTGAGACAATGGGCGGTATCTTGAGTAGGGTGCACAGGTCGCTCCAAATGACCAGAAGACACACGGTATGCTTTTACAGAAAGCCGTTTTATTCTCGAGAAAAACCAGCATTTTGGGACCCACCCAAAATGGTGTTCACCCTGGGGAGGGTAAGGCAGCCCTTGAAGCCTACTTAGGGGAATTTGAGCTGCCGTTAAGTGATTGGCTGTAGACCCTTACTGATACAGGAATCATTTTGTGGTTGGCTTATGACATCTGGTTAGCAGCTGTGGCTGTGGTGTCAGGGGTCTGTCTGCTGTGTCTAGGGTCTGTCTGACTGAAAACAGCAAGAACAGTCCCTGCTTGTGACCAGGTAGGACTCTGATTGGCTACCTGGACGTACTTCCAGGGTCTGGTTGAAGCTGACACGCGTCAACTTAAGTAATAAGGGGCAGAGGTCTTAGCAAACCGACCCCTGGAATAAAGACTGGTCCTGGTCCCTTCAAGCGTATACTGTGGTTCTCCGTCTTCCTCGGGGATGTGACGGATAGGACGGGGACAGCCCTCTTGGATGTGACCTCAGTGAGACAGCTCAATTTTACTCCAGAGTACAGCAGAGTATAGGATTGGGAGCCTGGGGACAAACCCTTTTTGCATGTAGGGGCAGGCTCCTATTAAAGGTTGAGCTAGTGGCAGCAGGGTCCTGTATCAAAGCTCCTAGCACAAGTCCTAGTAACCGTATCTGCAGCAGGGGGCAAACTTATAGCAGGAAACTGGGCCAAGGGTCACACTAGAGATAAACCCACCCTAAGTCCAGGCTTAGGTACAACTTTCAGATAAGGTCAGTCCTGTGGCTAAAGACATTCTCCATAGAGGGCGTGTGAGGAGCGGAAGTCTCACCGGGGAGGGAGTCTCTCGCTAGGAAAGACTGCGACCTCTTAACCATCAGGCCTTCCGACGACTTGTGAGACCTCTACAAGGCCACACCTCCTCCTACAAAGCCACGTCTCCTCTTAGTGCCTCTTCCATTGGGGGCCACTTCCTTTGGAAGACCACAGGAGGGGAGGAGGGGCTCCTGCAGGCTGGCTCCCCACAGCGGAACTCATCCACGGGCCACTGGGAAGCCCCTGTCCTGCACCCGCTGATTTCTTATGTCCCACACTCAGGTTCTGGCCGTTTGAGTGGCAGCGTCACCCCAGCCCTGGGCGTGTACCCATATACCCGGACTCTGGAATGTTTGGGTGGAAAGTTCCATCCCAAACCCCTCCCCTTGGAGTTGCCTCAGTCCAGACTCCACCCCCAAGAAAGCCTGCCAAATAGTGACCCCTCCCCAGAGGTGCTCAAGACCACTCCCATAGGGCATTTAAAGAGCCCCCCAGAGAACAAACCCAAGGTTTTCTGATCCTCCTTTCCCCATTTCCTCTCTGAGGTGTTGGAAGGCCACCCAGGGGTGCTGGTATCCATTAAACCTGGGCTTTTTCTATTTGGTTTGATTTTTGTGTGATTTGTTAGCGGAGAGGTTTACTGGGGTGCAGAAACTTCATGACCACTCATTACCACCAAGAATGAGACGGTCATCAGAGAGGAGTGACGCACGCCTTTCTTTAATCACAGCATTCTCGAGGCAGAGGCAGGCAGACCTCTTTGAGTTTGGTCTACATAGTGAATTCTGGGACAGCCAGAGCTACATAGAGAAACCCTGTCTCAAAACCAAACCGCCGGGCGGTGGTGGCACACGCCTTTAATCCCAGCACTCGGGAGGCAGAGGCAGGCAGATCTCTGTGGTCTGGTCTACAGAGTGAGTTCCAGGACAGGCTCCAAAGCAACAGAGAAACCCTGTCTCAAAAAAAAAAAAAGAAAAGAAAGAAAACAAATAACAACAAAAAGACCTTGTACATAAAAGGAAACTGAGGCCCATGGCCTTGGCTCTTGTATAGGGTCCCTGCACAAACTCGAGGCACGGCCCATGAGAGAAAGCCTACTAGGCTGCTCCACCGTCCGCACACTTCCGGGCTGGCCTCGAACTCACGGCTCCAGCGGCCTCTGCCTCCGAGAGCTGGGATTGGAGGCGTGGTCCGTATACCCACAATTATCGCGATATCTTCTCGCGCGCAATCTCGCGAAGCTCAGCGCTGGGGCTGCCCACCGCGCAGCCTGCCGTGGACGTCGCTTTATTCAGGCCTTCGCCGTAGACAGCACAAAACTGGGCGGGGCAGGGGAGGCCTCGCCGTTATCCCGCGCAGGCGCAGTTTTCGTAGTCCGGCGCAGGCGCAGTGCTGGCACAAGCGCGCAAGCGCAGTTGTTTCTGAAGGGCTGCAACATGGACGATGAGGAGGAGACTTACCGGCTGTGGAAGATCCGCAAGACCATCATGCAGGCGAGTCTCGCGTGGGGAGGCTTGAGCGAGTACCGAGTTGCGGACGGACTGCAGCTGTCGGCCCAGGCAGGCGTCCCGGGTGCGGGGATGCTTCCCGCCTCCGTGCGGGGCGCGCCCACGCTGGCCTCCCCCGATGGCTGTCCTGCTTCAGCCTCCCGGCGCTGTCCCAGAGGGGAGCTCGTGCTCACACCTGGTTTAGGGGTGCTGAGCAGCCGCTCCGCCAGCTTAACCCAGGCCCCAGTACCCTTATGGCAGCTCGCAGCCGTCTCCAACCCCAGCTTCTGCCCGCGTGCTGGCAGAGGCGGGTGACTAAGTTCGGGGCCTGCCTGATTACAGAGTGAGTTCCAGGACAGCCGGGGCTTTGTAAGGAGGGCTTGTCTTAAGAAACGAAAATAATCAGAAGGTAAAAATGCTCATTTGATGGCACAAGCTTTCATCCCCGTCACTCTTGGGCCAGAGGCAGGCCAGTCTCTGAGCTCAAGACCAGGCTGGTCTATTTTGAAAGTTTGAGGTCACCCAGGGCTTCATAGCGAGACCCTGTTTCAAAAATGATAATAAAAGAAGTCTAGGTAGGCGGGGTAATGGTGGCGCACGCCTTTAATCCCAGCACTCGGGAGTCAGAGGCGGGAGGATCTCTGAGTTCGAGGCCAGCCTGGTCTACAGAGTGAGTTCCAGGCCAGTGAAGAAAGAGGTCTGCGAAGTTTTGATTTACTGTGTTGGGTGGACTCCAGGACCCTCAGACCCAAGACTGAACAGGATGGCGATGTCTGGTCCCCGTGTTGAGGAGCTTGTGGGGATGGGGGCGCGGTGAGGCTGCCCTGTGGTTGCCTGCGGATGGGTGGGTCTTGGCTGGAGCCAGTCCAGAGCTTGGAGCCCACGCGGCCAGCAGCGCTGCAGGGTCACATCAGGGTCACGTCAGGGTGCTGCAGTCCCCGGCTCTCCTGCGGATTTCCACTCCGTCTCTGAGGACAGCTGGCTCTCTGTCCCTGCAGCTGTGTCATGACCGTGGCTACTTGGTGACTCAGGATGAGCTGGACCAGACACTTGAGGAGTTCAAGGCACAGTTTGGGGACAAACCCAGCGAAGGAAGACCAAGGCGCACAGACCTCACCGTGCTGGTGGCCCACAATGATGACCCCACAGACCAGATGTTTGTGTTCTTCCCAGGTGGGTGTCCATCATTCTGGTGCCGGCTAATGGCTGTGTCTAACAACTCTCTCTCCTTTGTCTGTGGTCTTCTGCTTTCTGCTTGCCAGTGAGGGTGGGTTCCACCCTGGCCCTGCTTTGCTGCAGGACTGTGGCAGCCGCCCAGCCTCCCCTGGGAACCTTCCCTTGTCCAGTTCCTGTCCATTCTCTGCCCCTTGCTCTCAGCACCAGCTCTCAGACACCCTGGCTCCGGTCTGCTATATTCTGTAGTTTCTGCCTTACACCCCAGGCAGCTCAGAAGGTGTCTCAGGAGAGGGGTTGCCACCCTGGGCGTCTGCCTCCTGGTGGTGTCCCCAAACAGCCTGTCTCCTTTAGTATCCTGGCACTTTGAGGGCCTGGGGCCTGTTTTTTTAGTGTGAGAGTTAGGGGTGCAAGGATGGGTATGGTAGCGTATGTCTGTAATCGTAGCATTTGGGAAGCAGAGGCTGAGGCTGGCTGTCCAGACCAGCCTGGTCTGTACCGTGAGTTCAGGACAGCCTGGTCTATGCAGTGAGTTCAGGACAGCTTGGTCTGCAGTGAGTTCAGGACAGCCTGGTCTGTGCAGTGAGTTCTCAGCCTTCCTAACTCTGCCACCCTTTAATAAAACAGTGCAGTGTGTTTTGGGGACCCCAAGCCATAAAGTTGTTTCTGTTGCTACTTCATAACTGTTATTTTGCTGTATGAGTCACAGTGTAAATATCTGTGTTTTCCTGTGGTCTCAGGTCAGTACCTACGATTGAGAATCATTGGTGCCGAGAAACCCGGTCCTAAAAAGAAAAACTAGATGATCGGGAGTAGAGAGTCTGAGACCCAGCAGTTTGCAAACCATGCTTGTGTCCTGTGGGCCTGGTTCTGCACTTTAGGTCCTCTTGCTCCAGTGAACCCCAGTCTGTCTGAGGAGCTGAGGTTAGCCCCATGTAGACACAGGATCTGCCTCCTCTTCCTTGAGGCTGCCCAAGCTGACAATTCCATGTCCCCAAACCTCAGAGCAGCTGACGGAACAGGGTTAGGGTACCGTGCAGCTTCCTCCTGCCCAGCCCCATTCAAGGCTCCTGGTTCTGATTTTACCTGGCAAATAGAGACATCCGAGACCACAGGCAGGGCAGTGAGGGTTGTGCTATGTGTCCGCAGAGGAGCCCAAGGTGGGCATCAAGACCATCAAGGTGTACTGCCAGCGCATGCAGGAGGAGAACATCACGCGCGCGCTGATCGTGGTACAGCAGGGTATGACACCCTCCGCCAAGCAGTCCCTGGTGGACATGGCACCAAAGTACGTTCTGGAGCAGTTCCTACAGCAAGAGCTGCTCATCAACATCACGGAACACGAGGTGCGCACCTGTCCTGGGCCGGGCAGGTGGGGTGGAGCACAGCGGTGCCTGAGTGGACAGGGCCCTGGACCCCCCAGCTTTGCTGCTACGGCTCCGCTTTCCAAATTGGGGATGGTCATAGCCTGCTCCTGTCCCCTATTCCACTCCTGTTGGGGTCCCTGGTGACTGCGCGTCTGAGGGTTGGGTCTCTGTCTCCACAGCTGGTCCCTGAGCATGTGGTCATGACGAAGGAGGAAGTGACAGAGCTGCTGGCTCGATAGTATCCTTTACCCCGCCCTCCCCCCACTCCACACTCGATAGTATCCTTTACCCCGCCCTCCCCCCCACTCCAGACTTCTTACCCCAGTGCTGCCCCACCAGCCTCTTCCTTAATGGTGTCCCAGCAAGCTTCGCGAAAGCCAGCTGCCCAGGATCCAGGCTGGAGACCCAGTGGCGCGCTATTTTGGGATCAAGCGAGGGCAGGTGAGAAGCCGTGGCCATTGTTCCCCTCCTTCTGAGGTCAGGACCACTGTGGCCAGAGGACAGTGGGCCCCAGGCCCTGCCAACCCCAGCCCTGCCTTCTCCTACAGGTTGTGAAGATCATCCGGCCCAGTGAGACAGCCGGCCGCTACATCACCTACCGCCTGGTACAGTAGCCCACGGCAGGTGAGCCCCGCCTGCCCCGGCCAGCACACTGCTCTGCCAGGGTCCCAGCTCAGACCCCTGTCCCATTCTGAAAAGCAGGACTGTTGGGTGAGACACCACAGCCCCCAGCCTGCCCTCCCCAGTGCACCCACTTGCGAAAGGAGCGTCTGACTCCTGCAGGTTGTCCTCTGACCTCCCGTGCGTGCAGCGTGGCAGCTGCATGAATCCACAAACCCTGAAGTCTAATGGGAGGGCAGGCTGTAACCCCTGAGGCAGGAGGATTGCTGCAACTTCAAGTGAGTTTATTACTTAAAGAACTGGTCCGTCGCCGCTCTGGTAGCTTCTGGTACAAGAGACTCGTCTGAAAACAGGAAAGGAACCCGCGCAGGAGCCAGTTGATCTGCCCTTCCTCGTCACCAGCACTCTGCCTGCTGCTCTGTGGGGCCAAGGGTACGGGCCACAACCTCTTTGCCTTTTGATTAGAGGGTTCCCACCTGGCCAGTGCCTTGGGAATGTGGCCCTGGGTAGCCAGCACCACAGTCCTCCCTGTGCAATCTCGGAGCACTGGCTGCACCCCCACACCTTTGTCACTGATTGCTGTCCTGTATAGAGTTCTCCATTCTGTAGGACTCTGTTCTGAGAACTAAAGACATTTTGAGGAGTTACATTGTCTTGGAAATCTGGTCAATTCAGGCTGAACTGAGCAGGATGGGTCCTGGGTGGGGGGCCCTCAGCTTGACTCCAGCCACTCCTCCATGAATCAGGTGAGACGCAGGTCTGCTACCTGAGTGTCAAGAACCCTGTCCGCTATTACAACTGATTGCACAAGGCAGGCCTTGCTGTGGTGAAGCCCGGAAGGGGTTTCGTGCTAGGCAACCTCCTTGCCCCTGGGCCACGCCCAGCTGTCTTCCTCCTTGGTTTTTGAGACAGGGTCATACAATCAGGGTTCCAATTCACTGAGTAGTTGTGGTGACCCTAAAGTCCTGCTGGGGTGACAGATCCCCACTTCTCAGCACAGGCTGGCCTCAGGCTTGCCTGCATCTGCCCCATGTCCTGGACGGAGTCCCACAGCACCTGGCTGCCAGCGGCTGCTCCCTACCTAGTGCAGTGCAGCTGTGCCCAGGCCCCCGTGTGACTGGCCGCACAGCCATCTCCAGGACTGTTCATCCCCCAGAGTCACTGATGGCTGTCAGACTAGCCTTCCTCTGGGGCAAATGCATTTCCTACCATTGTTCCACACTGGGCTTTTATGTCTGGGTCTCATGAGGCAGGATATCCTTGGGGGGTTCTGCCACACTGCGGCTAGTGTTAGAGTCTCGCTCCTATTCTTGACTGCATGGTACTCCAGTTTACAGACCACTCTGCCCGCCTCCCTGTGGACACAGGGCCGCTGCCCCTGGCTGCTGAAACAGAATGTCTGTTAATGCGCGGAGTGGCTTCGTTTTGAGACAAGGTCTCCTTGTGTCTGCAACCAGGCTGCCCTGAGACTGAGTACTCCTGCCCCAGCCTTCTGTGCTGAGGTGACCGGTGTGCAGCGCCACAGGTGGCTTGAAGATTTGTTTACCTGTACTTCCTGGTGGGGTGTGTGTGCGTGCGCGCGAGCGCGCGCGTGCCCCACATGTGGAGGACAGGACGACAACCCAGGCTAGCCGACCAGAAGGCTTCCTGGGTGTCTTATCTTCCTGTTTCCACTACCCATCTTGCCTGTAGGAGTCTGGGATTAGATGCTCCTTATGCATCCGGCTTCCACACATGCTCTGGAGGTCAGGGCCAAGGCACTTTCTCACTGTGGGCCAGGCTGGCTGGGAACTCAGAGATCCAGCTGCCTCTGCCTCCCAAGGGTGTGTGTTACTATGAATGTGGTTGGCTGGCGGACCAGAGGTGCATATCCCTGGGAACTGAAGTTCCCAATGGTTGTGGGTGCTAGTAACCAAACCTGGGTCCTGTAGAAGAGCTGCCAGTGCTTTTAACCTCTGGGCCACCTGCCTTCCTTCACACACACACCTCAGTGGTGTCCGTGACCAGAGTGGGATGCTCTGCAGGACAGACCTAAGATGCTGCTGATGGCTGACTCCTGGTCCCGCCTTCGGGCCTGTGGCACCCCAGACAGGTGTTTTCCCCTGTGACTGAGTCACACGAAGGCTTCCCCTCCCCTCACTAGAGCAGTGGCTCTCAGTAGTCGCACAGTAGACATCCTGCAGATCAGATTAGTTACGAAGTCTTATGGTGGGGTCGCCACAGCCTGAGGAACTGGAACGAAGGGTCAGAGCAACGGGAAGGTTGGGAAACGCTGCCCAACCTGGGAGGGTGTGGGAGTCTCACTCCCAGAGGCCTCTTCAGATCCCTGTAGACAGGATTTGGAAAGCTAGGGACACGGACAGGAAGTGTCTATCCCAATGAACAGAGCTTCGGTGTGGGCAGGTAGGAATTCCTGGAGATGGAAGACTCTCCCACGGCTCTGTGGCCGCCATAGCGGAGCCTGGAGCACACCTCTTCCATGTGTCACTCAGTGGATCGGGCGGGGTGTGCTTGGTGGTGTGCACTCATCCAGCATTGGGGAGCCCTGGGTTCACGCCCAGCACCACGCAGTCTGCGCTCCTAGCTGTCCCAGCACAGTGGCCTTTACATAATCTAATGTCTGAAATGGGCTTCTCAGCCACTTGGCAAAGTCAATCAGGATGGGGTGATGGGGTGTGGCTCGTTTTAGTGTGGGAGAGGTCTCCTCACCCTCAAGGTGGGATGTGGGGGGGCGGGTGCCAACTGTAATCCCAGCACCGGGGAAGACTCTGCATTTCAGGCCAGCGGGGATATATAGTGAGACCCTGCCTCAAAACAAAAACCAAACCAAGTGGCACTTCTATCGAGGTCAACAAAGGCATACACGCACCACTAGCCAGTCTTCCTTCCTCTCTCAAAGAACTGACGTCAGACTCCCTTGATGTCTGGGTCCTGGCCAAGAGCCAAGACATCTTGTTTACCAAGAACAGGGCCGCCCTGGAGTGCTCACCCCAACCAGCTCCAGACACCCTGCCCTCAGGTATCTTATCTGTGCCTGTGGTTTGTTGATATGGCCCCCTCATGAGGAAGCCCCCCCAGGTCCCGCCCATCAGGAAGGAAGGCCCTGTCCCCTCTGGCTGGTAATGGTGGCAGACAATTGCATGGACTTGCATGACTGGAATGATAAGATGGCCTCTGCTGCTGTGTCGCTGTGGCTAAGGAAGACCTTGAACTCCTGATCCTCCTGCTGTGCTGATGACAGGTGTGTGACACCCCCAGTTTATGAGGGGCAGGGGGTGAATCCATGTCCCAGGGCCACCACCATGCTGCTCCCAGGCTGAAGCTCCACAGGAGAGGAATCCTTTCCCAGAACTGCAAAGATACAGTTAAAACGTAGTGTGTAGCAAGAACCAATGCCTGATGTGGTTGGTGCACGCCTTTGGCCCCAGTCACTGGGAGGCAGAGGCAAGAGGATCTCCGAGTTTGAGGCCAGCCTGGTCTACAGAGAAACCCTGTCGTATGGGGGCAGGGGAGCACAAACAAGTGAAATAAGATGCTGCAGGCTGTGGTGGCACAAGCCTTTAATCCCAGCGGGTAGGAAGTAGGCAGATCCCTATGAATTGTAAACCAACCTGTTTACATGGGTAGCCCCAGAACAGCCAAGGCTACAAAGCAAGACCCCATCTGAGAAACAAAATGACATCACACCGGTCCTGTTTGGTTAAGAACTTTATTTCAAGCAAAATGGGGGTGCATGTGAAAACGAATCCACTGCACCTGGGGAGAGGCCCACTGTACCCTCAGCTCCTCGCTATCCGAGCTCAGCTTTCTGCAAGAACCCCAACACCAGAGCTGCCCCAGCTGCGCACACAGAAGCCACTCCTGCACCACTACACGGTGTCCTGAGTGGGCGCCCATCCAGAAAGACCAAGAAGGGTGTGGCTTGCACCCTGGGCTGATGGGGACCACAGGAACGATGAGGGGACCATGGGAATTCAGCTGCTGCATCTGCACAGGTTCACTCCATCTGGGACCAATGCTCAGCCGAGTCAGGCCACACCCGACAGTGCCAGGGTACCAGAGCGCCCTGAAGTTCCTTTCTCAGTGTTCTGAGAAACCAGCCCTCCCAGTCAAGGGGCCTTAGTCTCCCTTACAGTGGTTGGCAGTGGCTGACGGTCGCCACCATCACAACCCAGTTCAGACAAATTGTGGCCGCCGGTCCCCACTGGTGCCACATGTAATCTGCCCCCCTCGGAGCTGCATGGCAGGCAGAGGGACCTGTGCTGTGTTGTTGGACTGGTTGGTGTTGAAGGCACAGAGCCGCTGGCCTGGGTCTCCATCCTCACCCTCCAGTTGCTCCTCACTGCCACTGCGGCTCTGGGGACCTTCCTCTAGACCTGCCTCGACCTCCGGCTGCTCCAAGAAACTGAGGCGGTGCAGGGCGCTGGCGTCTGAGGATGACAGTGGGTCAGAGGCCTCTTCCAGCTCCGAGTCTGAGTCATTGGACGCCATTCGGGATTCTGTGGCCGAGAAAAAGGGATGCAGAGAGAGGGATAAAACACAGAGACGACAGACCAAAACCAGAGCCGAACCCAAAAGACACGGTGGACAGAAATGTCTGTTACCAAAGCTCAGCCACCGTGGACTCCAACACCATCCCAGCCTGCTTTCCCTCACTGGCCCTCCCTGGGGTAGGCGGTCACCAACACAGTAAAGAAAAAGTCAGTTTATGGACAAGATGTCACCACGCTGACATAGCCTAAGCTGTCTGCCCGCACCCACTAGTCAGGGCCTGTGGGTCCCTCTGCCACACTCACCTCGGCCTCCATCCTCAGCCTCCTGCAGGGGGAAGACAAGGCCCTCAGCAGTCTCCAGTTGGGCACACTGGGTGGATGCCCCCTCCTGAATTGTGGGAAGGTGTTAGGAGTGGGCTGGCTCTAGCATGCCCCACTCCCATTTCCATCCTGCCAACCAACCTCCCCCCGTCCCTCCTTCCCCTCTTCCTTCCTTCTCTGTAGCTTTGGGGCTGTCCTGGAATTAGCTCTTGTAGACCAGGCTGTCTTCGGAGATCCGCCTGCCTCTGCCTCCAGAGTGCTGGATTAAAGGCGTGTGCTACCATCGCCTGGTTTAGATTTTTAAATTTTTTAATAATTTACTTTTTTGAGATAAGGTCTCACTATATATCCATGGCTGGTCTGGAGCTCACAGAGATCTGCCTGCCTTGCCGCTCCAGTGTTGGGATTAAAGATGCTTTTGTTTTTCAGATACAAGTACATAAGGTTCTCATGTAGCACAGGCTAGCTTCAGACTTGTTCTGTGGCTGAGGATGGCCTTGAACTCCTGGACCTTCCTCCACCTCTGAGTGCTGGGATGAGAGACCCACAAAGCAGCCTGGCTTCCTGGTGCTGGGGGTGGACCCAGGGGTTCCTGCAGGCTAGGCTGGCGCTCTACTACTAACCTGTACGCGGAACCCCCATCATGTCGGGCGTCACCACCCATAGTTTTCTTTACCTGGCCGCCAGGTACCTCCTCTGGCTCCTCCTCAAAGACCAGGCCATAGTGGACAATCAGAGTCTCAATGACACGGGCCTGGTGCGGGTAGTCTACCAGGGAGGAGAGGGACACGGTGGCTTCCGTGGGCCGCGGCCGCAGCAGCGTGGGCCCGAAAACGATGCCCAGGTTCCCAGGGGTCATCTTATTGTCCTGCTCCACTTCCACGATCCTGGAGTGGGAGCAGTCAGGGATGGATGCGAGTGGGTGTTTCCAGGGACCCCCAGCCAGCTCTGCTCCCTGCCGGGGACCTCACCTTCGTAGGTGCCTCAGCAGGTACAACAGTGTGGCCCGGTTTTCCGCAGGCAAGTCCCGCATGAGCTCACGCAGGCGGCCAACCATGGCTAAGGCTGCAGCGTCACTCTCAGACCCGTCCTGCCGGCCCCGGCTCGCAGCCTTGGCCTCAGCCTCTGCCTTTAGGCTCTCCTTGGCTAGCCCCACCAGCTCATGGTAAAAGCGAAAAGAGATGAGGGGCTCCGGCAGCTACAGGATGACACATTCAGATAGAGGTCACAGGCCTGGCCTAGCAAGGGTGAGCACCTGACACGGCCAGGCCCCTGCCAGGCTCTGGGCGAGCCCCGAAATTAGTGCCCACCCACTATAGCCTTAAGGCCTTGTCCCTGCCTCAGACCTGCCAAGGCCGCGCCTAATAGACCAAGCCTGACTCAGCCCCGTCTCTGTACCCATTCATCCCTAGCCACACTCACCAGCTCAGACCCTGATTCGGGCGCCTGCCCAGATGACCACGCCCATCACACTAGGGGTCCACCCACCGCTGTGTCTGAGTCCACCCCACCCCTGTCACAGCCCTACAGAGATACTCCTAGCTCTCCCACATAGCCACACCCTCCAGCACAAGGCTGAGATGCTGCTAGGCCCCCGTAGATGCTGGCCTTCCATAGCCACACCACCCAGCTCTTGCCACATCTATTAGCACAGGCTGTGACCCTCTCCCACCTGCGATACCACCCCAAACCACCACCCCAAACTCACACTTGGGGCCCCTCCCCTGCAGCTCCTGACTTCCCTCAGGTCCTTGCTCCACCTTGGCCACGCCCCTCTCTCCCACAGACCACGCCCCCAGTTTCCCTCACCTGCCGCAGGTACAGCTTTAGGACGTTGCTGATGTCGTGGGGTGAGGCCTGAGAGATCTCCACCAGCTCTTTGCCATTCTCAAAGGCCTGGCACAGCTTCTCCACGCGCGTTTTCACGCCGTTGACCCGATAGATCCCCTGGGGAGCCGACAGTCACTCTCGAGCCTGCCTTGCACCAGCTCCCTGTCCCCCTTCCCGTGTTAGGGTCTCACCTTGGTGTGCAGGGCCCGCCGTTCAATCTCACAGACACATTTTTTGACAATGAAGGGGACGCCATCAGGAGTGCTGCGGGCGGCATGGCTGAAGTCCTGTCCAAACAGCTGCAGGCGGCCCTGAAGCTTCTTGTGGCCACATTGTATGGCCAGAGTCTCCAAACACTTTTTGTGACAAGCCAGACAGCACTGGAGGACAGCAAAATGTGGCTCTTCCAGACGCCCATTGTAAAGGCCAGGCCCCACTTCCAGCCTCCTTCCAAAATCCTACCGCCTCAGCACTGGACAAACCCTTCGCCTGGAGGGGTCTCGTGGGACTAAAACCTCCCCAGCCATCAGCGGTCCATTTTGATCTTTCTGAGGCAGGGTCTCATGTAGCCCAGGCTGGCTCCGGACTTGTTATGTAGTCAAGGATGGACCTTGAACTCCTCCTCCCATGTCCTCGGAGGAGGACTGGCAGGGGTGCACCACCAACGCCTACTCTATGAAACCGAGGATGGAGCCCAGAGCTGCGTGCATGCCAGCCCCCATCCTCACGACACCCCAGCCCAGGGCTCCAGGTCCCCACACACCTCCTCACACTCAGCTCCCTGGAAGTACACGTAGCTATTGCACTCTCTGCACTTGGCCGGTGTGCGCAGCTTCCGAAGTCGGTGTGTGCGAGCCGCCTTGGACAGTCCCACATGGCGGAAGGGCCCACTGGGCATGGCCACAGGTAACTCAGGGTTCATACCATTGAGGTCAGCTGTGGACAGGAGGAAAGGCCAGATGGATAAATCATGTTCATGCGCCTCCCACTGTTCCAGTCCCTTTGGGGGTCCCTCACCTGAATCAAAGGCTGAGACCACCAAGCCAGCTTCCTGATCCACCAGCTCCTCACTGGACGACATGGTCCCACTGGACGATGTGCGATCGAACTTCTTCAAGTCCCCTAATGGGAAACGGTGTTAGACAGTGGAACCAGGCTGGCCCGACCAGGGACTCCCCTACGTGACATGCACCCAGACACCTCTTTACCTGAGCTGGCATCCAGGCCAACTTCGGGGTCTGAGATGGAGATAGGCCAGGATTTGTGGACCTGGTGACCACGTCCAGCTGAGGGAGGAAAGAGGGATGAGGAAAGACTGTCTCCACTTGGGGAAGCCGGGCCATCTGAACGCAGCGTCTGCTCTGTGCACCTGTGCACACTCACCCCTGTGGTCCTTGCTGGGAGCCCCCTCGGAGGCACCACCTTCCTCGGGGGGACTGCCTGCAGCTTCGGGTCCTGTAGCATCCTCAGGGTTGAAGCTGCCCTTCCGTGTACGCATGATGGGGGACCTGGTGGGAGAGAGGTGTAAGAGGATCTCCCCCACCCCGAGTCATACCATCCACAGCCCACTGCAAGTGTGTGGCTGCACCCAGTGGCGGTACCAGGAGTTGGCGGAGACATGAGGCTCAAAGTCGTAGCGCACATCGGGCTCCTCGCCTCGCTGCAATTGACGCACGTGTGACGCATACTGTTGGCCCGGGTCGTAGAGCTTACTGCTCTCGCAGAGCATCTGAAAGTGCACAGGCAGGGGAGCTGTCTGCATGTGCATCAGCTGGTAATAGGAGATGGTGGCCTGCGGGGAGCAGGGTGTGAAGTCAGAGGCTGTGGGCCCTGCCTGTAGCCACGCCCATATCAGCAAGCCCCTCCCACAGCTCACCCCCCCTCCGTCTGAACAGCACTCCGCTCCTCCTTCTGACCCCAAATCACACCATTGTACAGCACCTACCAGACCCTCCTCCAGCCCTCTAAGCTCCGCAGCTCATAAAGCTTTCCCTGTTGACCGCCCCAGCTACTAAAGCACACCCTTCAAAGGACTAACCAGGCCAGCCCCCTGCACTTTGCCCCTCCAAGTCCGGCCCCCAGTCCCAGGACACCTTCCATGGCCACCCTAACCTGGCTGAGACCCTGCTGTACTTGTTACAGGCAGATATGTCCTAGCCTTGACCCCCTGAGACGCGCCCCACCCCAACCACCCCACTAGAATCCACACGCGCACCAAACGCCCACAGCCACCTCTCCAAGCTCAGCCCGCCCAGTGCCTGCCACACACCGACTTTATGGTCTGATCACTCTGCCTGATGACCTCCTGGATCTGTCGCAACGCTGTCACCTTTGTGTCCTCGAGCTCCTGTTTCTGTGTCTTTGCGTCCGCCACGCACGTGCGATAAGTGGCCATTGCCTCCTCGGCCTGAGGGGGCGAAGGTCAGTGAGGGTTTTGACACAGAAATACCAGAAGAGACCCGCATGATGGGCACAACCGTCTCCACTGGAACTAGGGAGGCTGATGGGACAGCCTGGGAAATTTAGAGAGGCTGTCTCTAGGTACCAAGGACATGGTAAGAGGACCAAGGACATGGCTCATGAGGGAAGCCCCTGCCTAGAATCCCCAGTGAGGGGCTGGGGGCGTGGTCAGGGTGCAGCCCCGCCTAGAATCCCCCCAGTGAGGGGCTGGGGTTGTGGTCAGTGTGCAGCCCCGCCTAGAATCCCCAGGGAGGGGTTGGGGGCGTGGTCATGGTGGAGCCCCACCTAGAATCCCCAGTGAGGGGCTGGGGGCGCTGTTCAGAGCTCTTGCAGGTGGAAAGGCCCAGCGGTTCATTCTCAGTACCGTTAAAAATTAATAAAGAAATAGTAAGAAGGAGCTGGCATAGGTGGTGGGAAGGACAGAGGACCAGAGGTGGCAACTACGCAGACGCAGGGCCCCGGGAGGCACCTCCTCTAGGTCTTGTCTTCTAGGCCCCTCCTGCTAATGCACCTTGTTTTTGGCCTCCTCCTCCAGCCGCCGCCTCTTGTCCAGGGCCTTGGAGGCTGCAGTCCCCGCTCCTGGGCCTGTGCCCTGTTGCTCCTCCTCGGCTTTGGCCACCTGGAGCCGGGCTTTGTCGTGGTCTTCGCAGCGTTGTTTGTAGCCCTGCTTGGCCTTGCGCAGGTTGGCCTCTGCCTCTTGCTGCAAGAGAAAAGAGAGGCTCCAGCCTGCGCAGCCTTTGCCCCTCCTCACCAGCAAGGACCCCACATTCCCACCCAACCAGCAGGGGACCTTGACTGGGGACACTTGGGAGGGTGTGTGCCGTGGGATCACACAGGGAAACCGAGGCACGACTTGGAGCTGAACAGAAACACAAACTGATCATCTCCCGGCTCCCCATGCCAGGTCTCAGAAGGTTTCACTTCTGTCTTCCGGATGAAAACAGAGCCGCCCAGGCAGGAAGCCAAGCACCCTGGGGTGGCCGGACACACTGAGTCAGAAACTAACGGGTCTGGGTGGGGGAAGCCCGCACCCCACAGCCTGAAAGACAAAAACCTAAACACGAAGGCCAGGGCTCCAGTTGAGACTCAGCTTCTCAGAGGCAGAGCTCAAACTCAGCCTGGGTTATAAACCTCAAACCTGGTGGCGGTGGCGCAGCCTTTAATCCCAGCACTCGGGAGGCAGAGGTAGGTGGATCTCTGTGAGTTTGAGGCCAGCCTGGTCTACAGAGCGAGTTCCAGGACAGCCAAGGAAAACAACACAGAGAAACCCTGACTCAAAAAACTAAACAAATGAAAAAAGTCTCCTTCCTCAGGGGTGACATATCAGATATTCACATTGAGATTCATAACAACAGCAAAATCACAGTGATGAAATCACAAAAATTCTTTATGGTTGTGAGCTGAGAACCACTGGTTTAACAGGTAAAGAAAGGCACTTGCCCCCATGATGAAGGACCTGAATCTCTGGGTCCGTAGGGTGGAAGGAGAGAACTGATGCCCACAAGTTGTTCTCTGACCTCCAGATGTGTGCTGTGGCATCTCTACCCCCACCAAATAAATTAAATAAAATATAATAAAAAAGAAATTAAAATCTGATTCCCTTTGAGAGAGAGAGAGAGAGAGTCTTCACACAGTTCTAGCTGTTCTGCACTTACTCTGTAAACCAGGCTGGTCTTGAACTCACAGAGATCCGCCTGCCTCTGCCTCCCGAGTGCTGGGATTAAAGGCGTGTACCATTGCGCCTGTCTCGTGCCCCCCCCCCTTGTATTTTTGATTCAGTTCGGTTATCAGGCTACAGAGCCCCTGGGATCCACCCGTCCTGCTGCCCCAGGGCTGGGGTTCACTCAAGCACACTGCCATGCCTGGCTTTTATGAGTGCTGGCCGCATGGGGTCCCCATGTTTCCCCACGAGTCATCTCCCCAGCCACCTTCGTGCCTTTAAATCACCCCAAAGAAAAATGGAACCCATGTGCACAGACACGGACTGTGCCTCAGTTTCCCTCCTCTGCTGAGCGCAGGGGACATGCCCCGTAGCACGGGTGCTCTGGTTGTAAACCCACCCCTGGGCCCCTACCAGCTTCCTCTGTGCGCGGTGCCAAGATTCTTTGATCTCCTTCCTGCGTCTCTCATGCTCCAACCGCCTCAGCGTCAGGGGCTAAGAGGGATAGGAACCGTGAGCACTGAGCCGTGGGTGGCATTCCCGCCCAGTAGCCCACCTCACCGGGACTCAGCCCACCTGCATGAACGTCTGGGTCTGCAGTGTGCCCACGGCCTGCACCATGCCATGACCAAACTCCAGATCCTGTTCCAGGGCCAGCGCGTAGATGGACAAGAGAGGCATGTGGGGCTGCAGGGAGAGACGGCAGGTCACCAGGCTGGCATGCAAACCAACAGAAATCTTCAGAAGCAGTAGGAGGGAGCAGCCAGGGCCGTGGAACTCCTACACATCCTTCAAATACCCGTTCCCCACCCGCTTAGCCCAGCCTACCTCATGAGTGACGCTCTGTCTGCAGCTGTGGACAATCTTCTGTAGACCTTTGGCAAACTCCATCTCTGCCAGGGATGGGGGTGCAGAACGAGGCTTCGGAAATGACCTCCTCAGACCCCCCCCACACAACCCTGTCCTGGTATCTCCTCGCCCCTTACCCAGAGTGGTCCGCTTGTCCAGGTAGCCGATGAGGTCTTTCATGTACTTGGCCATGTCTTTGGCGTACTGTAGGGCGGCGTCCACGCCCCCCTCGCAGCGCTGCAGAAGGATGTCCACCTCCTTAGGGGGCAGGCAGCCTATGAGGGGACAGTGCTCAGTCCCGATGGCCACAACCCCTGTCCTTGCGGCCCCCACACCCCAGAGGCACTCACCCTCCTCAGTTTCCTCCACACTGGGCGGGGACCCCTCGCTGCCGGGTCCATAAAGGTTCTCCATGGACTGCGTGAGGAAGAACATCCCTGTTCCAGGACGCGGAGCCTCTGCCCCGCCCCTTCTTTGCCGACACCCTCTATGGCTCCCCATGTGGACGGCCCTCCCCTTACCTGGCTGGGGTCCCCGGGGGGCACGGCCAGAAGGGTACTGCTATCCACTTCACCCAAAAGGAACTCAGAGACACTGCAGGGTGGGATGTGGGTGTCGTTCCAGAGGTTCACGAGCTCTACTCCCCGACCCCACTGTGCCCCCACGGTCCCGGGCTCACGTGCAGCTGAAGGACACAGCGATCGTCTCCAGAGCCTTCTCAAACTCCCGTTTATCTGCTTCGTTGTTGCTCTCGTAATGAAAAGCTGAGGGGCGGAGAGGAGGTACGAGGGCTTGGTCAAATCCCTATACACCCTGCAAAACCAAGCTACAGATACTCCCCTCCTGTAAGCCTTTCCCTGGCTGACCTTTGACCTTGGCAATGAGCGTGCCGGCAGCTGTGAGCGTCTCCACGGTGTTCAGGAGTGGGTATCTGGAGATGACCTGGCGCATCACACGCAGGGCTTCGCCTAGGCACTCATGGGCCAGGGGCCGGCGGGCCTCAAGGAGGTCTGCAGGGTAGAGTGAGCATGGCTAAGAAGGAAGGGACTGGCTCCAGTCTTCCCAGAGGTGAGGTGGGGAAACTGAGGCAGAGGTTTCCTCAAGCAACTCTGTTAATTTCACCCTCTAGCAGCGTTCCAACCAGAGGGAGGTAGTGTCACCTCCCCGTTCTTTCTGCAGACATGGAAGGCGAGGCGCAAAGAGTGAAAGACAGGCTGCTGGCGGTGACGCACACCTTTAATCCCAGCACTCAGGAGGCAGAGGCAGGCGGATCTCTGTGAGTTCGAGACCAGCCTGGTCTGCAGAGTGAGTTAGAGGACAGCCAGGGCTACAAGAGAAACCCTGTCTCCAAAAACCAAACCAAACCAAACCAAAGAGCAAAAGCCATTTGCTAATGGTCACACGGCTCTCCCTGGGCCACAGCCCTAGAAGGACCCTGCCTGGGATGACAGGCCCGTGACACCTCAGTCCTCTCGCCTCTATCCTCAAAGGTCCAAAATCGAAAGGTGGGGTTTTCCGCCGCACAGTACGAGCAAGCACAAGCCCTTGGCAAGATGACGGGGCACTGAGGACAGAAGATCCTCCAGACAGAACCTGGAAACGCTCCCTGGTTTTCTGCAGCACCAGGCCCCGCGGAATGCCACCCTGGAGGCGATGCCCTCCACATTTTTGTGGCCAGAATGGGAGGCGGAGGACTGGGAAGCTGCGCTGCCTCCTGGGACATTCCAGGCAGGCACGCACGACCCCCTTTGGGTCGCCGGGGTCCCTGCAGCTCCAAGCATGGGCCTTATTCGAAGCGTGATGACACCCGGGATGCAGCCAAGAGGAGCGCGGAGTCCACCCCTGGGGGCCGTGCAAAGACCTTGAGCACGCACGTGTGCGCGCGTGTGCGCCGTCCCGGCCCTGGGTAGGGCGACCCACACCTTGCACTGTCCTCACCTTGGGACCCCGTCTGGCAGCGCTGGGGGCCGTGGTCCAGCACCGGGTGCAACATCCCACAGGCACACATGGCTCAGGGATGCAGGAAAGGACGGACGCTAGTGTGTGGCCCAGGAACCCGAGTCCTGAGCGTCCTGGGGTCTTCAGACCGCTGGCCAACAGCCAAACCGGCTTAAGCCGGTCGTCAGGCCCCGCCTCCTTCTGGGAACAGTCCCACCCCCTATGTTGGGAAGTCCAGTGCAAGAGAAGGCTCCAGAGAAAGGGCCTCGCGGTGGCTTGTGTCCACCCCCCAGTTGCTGTCTCAAATGCACCTTGACGACTATCTGGGGGTTGTGTTCCTGTCCTGTTTAGAGAAACCCAACCCCAGAGGCGGGTACACCGGTGATCCCCGTCCTGCTAAGGCTTGGTGGCACAGGCCAACATCCAAGGATGCTTGGGTGCGGAAAGGCCAGTAGATTAGGGCTTCCCCAGAAAAGCAGACTCAGCCCCCTCTCCGGAGACCGGCTGCTCCCATCCTCTCTGGGAGCCGCCTTGAAAGCGCCCCCCCCCCGTAAGGCGGGGCCCAGGTCTCCATCTCCCTGTGTCTGTGCGGTGGGGAGGTTGAGGGGGAGTGGGGTTGGGCGCTGGGTACAGCGCTGACGTGTGGTTTCCGGGGAGCAGCTAGTGGGGGCGCTGAGGCTGGTGCCTGACCCATCTCTCTGTGCTGCTGGAGACAAACAGGAAGGAGGTGAAAATAACTCTGGAGGAAACGGAGCCGTCAGCAACCGCGTGCAGGAGAAAACGGAACCTTATGCCTTGGGCCACTCACTCCCAGTGAGTCCTCTGTCCTCTGCCTTAACACCTTCCAAGTTCCCCCAGCGCCCACAACATTGCACCCAAGGTCCTTCAGCCTCCGCGGCCTAAGGCATTTCCCCCTGTAGGTCCTACAGATCCCTCAGAACCGAGTCGGCGCGAACACCTCTTCCCTGAGACTTATTCGAAGCCTCCGTGTAGCCCTCCCGTTCCTTTTTTCTTTCTTTTTCATCTTTTTCTTTTTTCTTTTTTTATTCTGTTCTTTTTCTTTTCTTTCTTTTTTTTCCCCCCTTTTGAGACAGGGTCTCACTGTGCAATTCTGGCTGACATGGAACTCATAGAGATCTCCTGCCTCAGCGCTGGGATGCAAAGCTTGCAGGAATTCTCACCATCTCGCAGCACAAACTCCTTGAGTTTCTCCAAGCCCTCAGCAAAGCGAGCCACATCAGCCAACAGGGTTGAGATGTCTTCTACACCATCAGGGAAAGGTCCCTCACTGGGTGGCTCTCCGGGGCTGGCAGCAGACAGGGGGCTTCGGTATCCCCGGCCCAGGGTCCAGGTGGCAGCCCCTGAGAGTGGGAAGCCGGCGGCACTGGCATGGCGGCTCAGGCTGGTGGGTCTTTTGAGTGTGCCTGTGGCCTTGGCCCCCGTGGACAAGGATGTGGCTGGTGGCTCCAGACCGGAAGCCTCTGGACCTTCCCTCTTGGACAGTTCCTGGGAGGGTATAGGGGAGAAGAATCAAGGGGGAGTCTTTTCTTTTTTTCTTTTTCTTTTTGGTTTTTTTTGTTGTTGTTGTTGTTTTGTTTTTGTTTTTCGAGACAGGGTTTTTCTGTCTATCCCTAGCTGTCCTGGAACTAGCTCTTGTAGACCACGCTGGCCTCAAACTCACAGAGATCTGCCTGCCTCTGCCTCCCGAGTGCTGGAATTAAAAGCGTGGGCCACCACCGCCCAGCTCCAAGGGGGGATTCTTTATCCTGGACACTGCCTCAGTTTCCCCAGAACTTACTCGTGGTGTCAGAGGTCAGGGAGCAGAGATTTGAAAGCTTCTCCCCCCCTACACCTGTTACCCAACATCCTCCTCTTTTTAGCTTTCACAAACAACCGTCCCTACCCAAACCACAGCCTGGGGCGGGGCCTGTGTAGGCACAGGAGGGAGGGGCACCCCACTTCCTGGTGGGGGTGGGGAGGGCCCTCGTGGGTCTCCTGCCTTCTAGCCACCCCAGACTTCTCCATGCGTGTCCACTCTCCAGAAAGTGGCTAACTCCTGAGACCTGGATCAGGAGTTATCAGGCCCCTGCATCCCTGCACACCCCCAGACCCGGTAGAGAGACCCCTAAACTTTACAAACACCCAACAGCTCAGAGACCCCATAAATCTGCCCTGCACACCTGTACCCCAATCTCACACCCTTTTCCCCATTGGCTTCCGGAACCCTTAAATTGCTCCAACCCCAACTTCCAGAGAATCAGACACGTCCGTGGGCTCCAGTACCCTCTCTGCCCACTGCCCAGACGGAGTCATTCCTGGTAAAGACGGGTGGCTCGGTGGCCACCAAAGGCCACCCCTACCGTCAAGCGGACTCCCAGGTTCAGGCCTCGTCGCGCAGCCTGCCGTCCTGCCTGTTGGGGATTGTAGCTAGTGCGGGTTCCCCACCGGGGGCCCAGCATGATGCCGTAATCGCACCTTGTGCCTAGCAGTGGCCACGGGCTGTGGGTGTCATCCCGAGTCCCCGCCCGTCCTGGGCTCCACTCACCCCTGAGGAAGACTGTGGGTTGGGGCTCCCCGCGCGGTTCTTTTTGGAAATAGAGGGGGTTTTCATAAGTTCTCGCTTCTTCCTAGAGAACATGGTGGAGCCAGTCCCGTGGCCTCAGGTATGGGCAGCAGGTCTGGGCCTCTCAACCCTGCAGTTCCTGGGGCTGGCCGGCTCTGGACCACATTGCTCAGGGCCACCCCCTCCCCAGCTGTCAGACCCACGTGACGGGCCTGGCCCTCATTGGTGCACAAGTCCCCAACACAGGAAAAGGCCCCCAGCAGAAGGAGGGGGGAGGGAGGTGATACTGTAGACCCGCCCCCAGTGCGACTGTCCTGGGTGCCGGTTCTGAGAGGGCTCTCTGCACTGAGGCTCTGACACGAGCTCCCCACAGCGGGCATCTTCCCCTTGCAGCCATTGCTGGGACCATTGCTGGGACGCACTGTCCCAGAGGCTGTCAGGAAGAGCAGTCTCACACGCATAGCCACACACAGGGACACAGAAGAGGAGGCAGACACCACCCGCAGGTGACCCCCACTTCCTACAGCCTCCTGGAGACCACAGGACAGGAAGGTACTCCATCTGGCTTCTACCCCTCTCATCCTACAGCCCGGAAGCCCCACTGCCCTGCTGGTCTCCCCTTGGCTCCTGTTCTCACCCTGCCTTCCACATCCCAGTTTTGAGCCTCTCAGGGTGACTCCCAGAGGCCCATCTAGTTTAGACACCCCACCTCTTAACTATCCAGACCCCCACTGACCTCAGCCACACTGGGTGGCTCTCCAGGACACAGCCCAGGAAGGCCATAAAAGCCCACGGTGCCCAGTCCCGCTCTCCAAGCTCTGGTCCAACCGCAAACCCAGCCAAGTAGCCCCTTGAGGGTCCCATGCTTCCCCCCACTCATAGCTGGACGGCTGGGGTGGGGTTGGGAGTTGTCTCAGGATGAGGGCTGGCTGGCTGTCTCTGAGGTGGGTTTCTGGTCTGGCCAGAAAAGCTCCAGGGTCCTCTAAGCCATCTGGGAAATTCCCCACGCCTGACCTCATCTCTACTTCATGGTTAGAAACACTCACAAGTCCCACCCTTGGGAGCCAGGTCCACACAGGTATATGCAGGTCAGGTGCGTGTGACTAGACACTTGGGAGTGCCCATGTCTCACGCCTGGGCTCACCCCACAGGCACTGCTTGGGGTCAGTGGCTGTGACAGCAGCCGTCACCTCTGTGACCACAGACACATGCACACACTGTATATGCAAGTCTGTGCGTCTCGGCTCAGAGCCAGGGCTCCTAGGACGCAAACACACAGCTCAACCTCACTCTTCTTGGTTCTCTTTATTTCCCCCAGGGAGCCAGTGTGTGGCTCAAGGACCACACAACCCAAGGCAGACATGCTCAGAGCATGGTCTCCACAGAGCTAGGGTCTTCCAGGAATTGCTTGATACGTTTGGGGTGCTTCAGGCCCTGTGTGGAAATCTCGGCTCCAGGCTCCTGCTGACTGTCCTCCTCTTCTTCCCCTTGGTCTTTGGAAAAATGCAGGAACACCTGACAGGGCGGTGACAAGGAGGGAACAGAAAGGCATGGGAGGGAGATGTCGGCCCACGGTCGTGAGGTCCTCAGCTCTTCCCTTCAGGCCCTATTATGGGTCCCTATGTCACCTCCTCCAGAGTGGTCTGGCTAACTGAGAAGTCCTCCACACCGTGGTCCTTGCCCTGCGCGGCCAGCTCGCGGAAAATCCGTGCCAGGGTGCAGCCGCCCCCAGGTGGCAGCTGGAATCGCAGACGGCTGCCATGCGCCTCCCGAAGCTGAGCACCCGGGAATGTGGCCACGAGGAAGGCTATCGCTGGTTCGGCCTGATCCGGTGGGACCCGGAGGGTCAATGTGTGACCGGCCCCGAACCTGGAGGGGACAGGAGCAGGGATGCAGGCCTCGCTGCTCCCTACACCCCCTACACCTGTCTCTAGCCTGTCTTGTACGCCTGGATCTAGCCCAACTCCTCCTCACGCTGCTCTGCTTGGAAGCCACGCTCACTCATCTAAGAGGCCACGCCCACTCAGAGGGCACCCCCCTTATCCTCGCCCATGTACAATATAACCCGCCCACAACCTATAATCCCCCACACTCTTTCTGGCTTCATCCCTACAAGTGACTCCGTTCTCTACCCTTTGGCTCCGCCCCTAGAGTGGCCCCGCCCGAGCCCTCGAACCCCACCTACCCACCCTCCGGACCCGCAGAAGCTCTAACTCCTCAACAAGTCTTTTCTCACTCACCAGGGTCCACACCCAGCTCTTCTGGCTCCACCCACAACCTCGGCACGCCAATCATATCCAGTATCCCTCCGATCCCCGCCTCCCCGACACAGGCCAGGCCAATGAGCCTGCCCATCACGCCCTGCTCACCTGCCTTTGAGATGTTGAGCGCTTCCCAGACAGCGGAACCGGCCGTTCACCATGATGGCCAGGCGCGTGCAGAGTGCTTCGCACTCTTCCATGCTGTGGGCGACAGTGTGAGCAGAGCTGGGCCCAGCCTGCCTGCTCAGGGGCCATGCTCTGTCCCACGCCTGAGCTCTCTCAGAGTGTGGCATGGTACTTACCTGTGCGACGTGAGTACCACGGAGCGGCCCTCGCGCACCACCGACAGCAAGCTGTTCCAAAGAAATCGCCGCGCACTTGGGTCCATGCCTGTGGTGGGCTCGTCCTGCATGGGAGGGGCAGACCTTGAACTAGGTGGGACCCCAGTGACAGCCCCTGACCTGCTCGAAATCTGCCCACTGGGGCTCCGCTCCGTCTAAGCCAGAGCACACTTCAACCAGACCCCACCTTGCTCAGGCCAAGCCCAAATGAAGGCCCCAGTCTTGTACAGGCACCGTACCTAAGGTTTCCATCAGCTCAGACCCCACCTCGCTGAGGCCAGGCTCCATCCCACTCGGGTCCCACCCACAACCCACTCAGTCCCCGCCTCCACGCACCAGGAAGACCACGGCCGGGTCCCCAACCAGAGCCAGGGCTGCCGCCAGCTTCCGCTTGT